GAAGAGTGTAGGTGGGGAGGCGGATGAGGGGTGGGGGACCCCTTGACGTCACTGGAAGGAGGTGCCGGGGTAGGAAGTGGGCTGGGGAAAGGTTATAAATCGCCCCAGCCCTCGGCTCCTTTCAGTCGAGGTCCGCGGGAGGCTCTGGGCGCGGGCGGTGGACACGCCTCGCGGCTTCCCCCCGGCAGCAACGGCGGCGGCTCGGAGCGGGCTCCAGGGCTCGAGCGCAGCGGCCAGCGGGCGCCGGGCGGCGAGGATTACCTGGGGAAGTGGGTTTCTCCTGGCCGGAGCCGCGGAGAGGGGCTCCCGAGGCGCAGGTCCGGCGGCGGCGGAGCGCGAGAGCACGGGCTCGGGCGGCCGGGTCGTTGGCCGCGGGGAGCGCGGGTGCAGGGCGAGCAGGCCGTGTCGCGCTCACCATGGTCAGCTGCTGGGACACCGGGGTCCTGCTGTGCGCGCTGCTCGGCGTTCTGCTTCTCACAGGTGAGGCGCGGCGGGGGCCCGGGGCCTGAGCGGGACTGGGATGGGGCGGTCAGGGGTGGGGGCAGAGCCGGGTGCACGCGGGGAGGCGAGACTGCAGCCGCGAGAAGCGAGCCTCGGCGGGAACCTGGGACAGTAGGTGCAGCGGACACGCCTGGGGCCGCGGCGTCCTTTTTCTGAGTGCGCGCCTCGGAGAGTTCTGGCCGGGGCCCGCGGGCATCACCGCTCAGACCCGGTCCCTGCCGGGGCTGACCCTTTGCGGTAGGAGTCGCTGGTCCCCTGCCCGGCTCCCGGCTGGGGTCATCCCGTCCGGGATCCGGGCGCGGGAAGCGCCGCGCACCCGGGCTCTCCTGGCACCCGGAGCCTGCTCCCAGGCAGCCCGGCGCGGGTCCGCAGAGCCCTCCGGAGCTGGGAGCAGCAGCTCCTGAATGCCCGCGAGGCTACCCAGGGCTGGGCTGAGGCCGGGGCGTCGGCGACATGGGGCACTGGCCACTACATCTCTCCACGAGAGGGAAGGAAGCGAGCGAGTTTGGAGGGGGTCGCATGCCTGCGGGGAGCGGAAGGATCCCAGGAGACGGCCGGTGTTGGTATCCCTGGACCCGCTTCGGGCCCCTGAGCCGGACCGTCCCCGGGAACGTTCGGCGAGCGCCCGCTCCTCCCCGCCGCGTGCCGACCGCGGGGCCCGGGCGCGCTCGGCGCAGCTCCCCGGGTGGGGCCTCTGCGGGGATAGGCGGGGTGCGCTTAGCCCAGTTCGACGACGCGAGTGACCCTGACCGACGAGGGCAGCCGAGGACCCAAGTACCGTTAAGTTTCGGAATTCTGAGTCTCGCCTTCAAATTCCGGGCGAAGAAAGGGCGGACGATTTGGACCAAAAGATGCGGTTTGAGGAATCGGTAAGGTCCGCCCCGCCACCTAAGTCAGCCTTCGCCGGGAGTTTGGGAATCAGGAGGTGGGACGGCCGGGGGCCAGGAGGTTTTACGAGCAGTTCGCGCGGAGACTGCACCCATTAAGGGGTCAAAGCCCGAGGGAGCTTAGGGGCTCGGACTAGCCGACTCTGCTCATTGGGGCTGAGTGGCCGAGCCCTCTGGTTCCGTCTCCCGGGGAGCATCTTCCTTTAAGCATCGTGGAGAAAAGGTAAAATATGAAATAAAAGAAGTCATTGCAATGACTCAAGGAAAGGGAAGTCAGTAAGGTTGAGCACATTAACAAACAAACAAACAAAACAAAAACGCTTGTTAAAACCAAATAGCAGTAACAATTAAATATTCATTGCCAGTGGGAAGACTAATTAGACCGCCAGTTTCTAAATAACAATAGTCCCGATTGGATTGGTGAAACCACTAAACTGGGAGGCAGGACGAGGTCATAATGTCTGAGAACTCGCTATCGGTTGGGAAAGGTGCTAAATAACTATGTTGAAGGAGATATTGTATTTTCTATGTCACAAATACATTTTTTTTCGGTTTGGAAAAGTCGCTTAAATTAGAATATAATTGCTTAGAGAATTAAAATAGTTCACCCGTGTATGAGTGTTATGTAACGGTAAATCTAGGTAAATTACTGTGAATCCAGAAATATATTGGGAAAAGTACATGCTTTCATGGATTTTCTGCTTTAGACACATATCTTTATTTTGTTACAAAAACGTGGTTGGCTTTAGTGAAGCATAGTTTTATTTGTGATTAGGAGCATCTTTGGTGGGAACTTTGCAGAAATGCTGAGATTCTCGTGATTTGTTTTATGTTATAATCTACTTAAGTGGGGCAGAAATCTTGATACTCTCTGTGATTTTTGAAAAAATTGTGTGTGCTATAGGAAGAAAGTGGGACAAACACTGGCAAGGTGAGAACCCCTTTTACCTGACGGTTTAAGAAATCTGTCAGCGGTGCGGGTTTGTCATTGCAAAGCGTGCCTTTTGAAAACCGCAGGCTTCTGGGCTGGTTAGCAGACATCTTACAGTAAAACAATTAGCCACCCACACTAGACGAGGGGCTGCATCTCTGGGAAGTGGTGTCCAGAAAGAGGCCCCGTTTCTGTGGATTTATCAGGAATGCGCTTTCACTCATCGTGGGCCCGGGTCAGCGCTTTATTAACATGGCTGTGCACACATTGCGGTGTCAAATAACCAGAGATTCCCTAATACAAAAAGATAATGCATTTCCCCCTAATGAATATATTTACCTTCTTCCAAATATCCTGGGAAATAAAAAGATGCCAATAATTCAGATACTTTCAAGCCCTCTGTATTGCAGTCTCTATCTATAAAGGATACCAGTCCTCTAAGTTTAATTTTCTTACTTTTAAGGCACCCTTGGTTAGAGCCACAGATCCTTTTTTCCTGCCCCCATTTCTCTTGAGTTCTTAAGCAGCCGACATTTACAATTTACTATAAACAATTGGGAATACTTAAATTGTAAATTTTGTGAGGGAAGTCCACATTAATAATAAATCAAAATATTTATGAAAATAATACCTATTTCCAAGTTGAATGTAATAAATCTTTCATAATAATGTTAATTTTACATAACAATTTTTGTTTTCTCCAAGGTTTGTAAAGCTACACTTTTTTTTTTTCCAAAGTGGATATTTGAAATGTTAATTATTTAGGACTTTTAGCAGTCCACATAGTTTTTCAGCTGATGGGTCGTGTTTCAGATGAACTGTAGGTAACCACCTCCTCTGGTTTCTCAAATATTTTTACCTTTTTTTTTTTTTTTTAGCACTTTGTTCCTTTTTTTCTTTCTATGTTGAAAATTTTATAATGGACTGTCTAGTTTCATTTTTAATGATCATCCAGTGGACTTTTTATTTTAATAAGTAAAATGCAGAAGTTAGAATAGATGGTTAATTGCTAAGGCCCTTTTCCAACTCTAAAATTCAACGAATGATTTCAGTAAATAGGCTAAATACAGTGTATGTGTGTCTCTTTTCTCTCCTCCCACCTTCTTTATATTGGCATACAGAATGGATGATAAACCATATGACACTGGGGCTGTAAAGGATGAAATGGGTTTCCCCTGCTATCACTAATCACATCATACTTTATTCTTCTCTAGTAGAATGTACCTAACCAAATAGTTAAATTGGACTTTAACGGGCTATGTTTTGCAAGAGATGGACTGGTAGAGGATGCCGGAGCCAGCGGTAATCATTATCTTGGGCTTTTTTCACTAGCAGAATGTGGAACTCTGTGAAGCAGACTACCCTTCATAACTCTAGTTGCGTTAACTCTTCTAAGGATACCAATCACTTTAAACCCCTCTGCACTTCTTGTTGTTGTTTTAAATTAACACTTACTTAATAATAAAAATGGCTTTATTCTCAAAGAGTGCCAGGTTTCAACAGGAATACTCAACCCCTTATTTAAAATTGAACCTATTTTTTGTGACTTTTAAGAAACAAACCAAATAATTACTTTGTTCTTTCCAAAAACTATCGAGACATTTCTAAATATGCTTTGAATGTATGTAATATAGAAGTTGAAATATGTTGCAAAAAATGGTTTTATATTGGCCAAAAAAATGTGACATCCTTGAGGAAGATTATGCAACCTATTGCCATCTGCACAGCAAAGTTATGGCTGGTGTTTACTCTGGCTTGGGTGGTTCAGCAACGCAAGAACAAATAACAGAGTAAGTAGCTTCTGTAGTGCTTTAAATTGAGGGGTGTATGTGAGTGAGCATAAGAATGGAGAGAAAGTGAGAGAAGCTATCTTGACACTCAGTGGTAAATGCAAAACCCGCTGGTGTTGGAAGAGACCAGCCATGTTAGGTTCTTGATTCAGTTGGTGGTATATTGGATATCAAGTAAATATCTTCATTTTTCAGTGTATTTGTCATTGTGGATAGGGGAGGAGGGGCATTTGAAATCATATCAGCCCTTTTTTTTCCTTTTTGAAATAAAATGGTGTTATTATGAGTTGTTAAAAGCATAAAACCACTTGTTGCATTTGGCTTAAACAATTTGATAGAACAGTCCATTCTGCTCCACTGGCCTTAGTCTACTGGAGAGTCTTGTAAGGAATGACAAAATCTCCTGCCAGATGCTTTCCAGGATCCTTGCTGATTCCCCACACACTTGGGTGCCTTGGTAATTACATGCTGCTGATTAAGTTGCTGAATTTTATTCCAGATTGAGGGAGGGGAAGGAAATGGGAGGAATGGGATATTTTAGAGAGGACTTGAAAGAAAAGCCTCTGGCTTAGCACTCGGGTCTGCAGGGGGGTTTCATTAAGGAAACGGTTCCATTGAGTCTGCTGAAGATAGCGGACTAGATTTCCTGCATTGCTGCTGGGGCGGATGTGGGGAGATGTCAAGAATTCCTGGGGATTTCCCATCAGTCTTGGTAAACCTGCATGCTTAAAAGCCATTTCTGATTGCTACTCTTTTCCTTCATTTTGAGCTCCTTGAGAGACTTGATCTTGTCTTACAGACACATACATTGTGAGGGCTAAGTGGAACCTCATTGATCCAATCTACTTATTTCAAAGATGAGAAAACCAGCCCAGAGAAGTTCAGTGATTTTTTTTCAAGGTCAACAGCTGGCTAGTGACAGACCCAGGAACAGAATCTGATGAACAACATTTCTTCTTCGTTTGTATATTTTCTCTTCCCCAGACAGAGTGGAGGTGTTCAAATATTTGTTGAATAACATTATTACAGTGCTAAAATTTCTTTCTAAACGACAGAATTTTTTAATATGGTGGCTGCTTAGTAGCACACCAAGAGCTTTGGTGAGGTTGATTTTCCTTGTGAGCACTTGGAATCCTTTTTGCGAGTGGCCCGCGGCTCACAGTTGTGGCTATGGTGCTAGCTCCTTCCACCCCTTCCCTCCACACTCTCTGTGCTCCAGCTCTGCAAACTCTACCCCAGTCAAATCACTCATCCTTCTTCAGATGGGCCGTTACTTTTGTCACTGCATTCATGTTGCCCATCTGATTACACGACCCTTTTTCTTCCTCCTTCTGTATCTCTTTCTCCCCTGCCTGTGAAATTCAGCTCAGC